GCATCCTTGTGAGAGATGACCTAGGTTGCTCCTTAAACTGCATGTTTTTATGAAGAATCTAGTAACTTTTGATGCCAGTGCGACATGGATATCAAATAATTTATTTATAAATATGCTGGCCGACAGAATGCACACCTACAGGTTAAGGTTGTCGCTTAGGTGAACCATATCTCACCTGAGCGAGACTTGAAGTGAACTTTACTTCTCTTCTCTTCACTCTTCATTTCATCATGTCACACTCTTAATATTTAGCACAAGAAAAAAGGATCAAATGCCTTCATATAATTACACATTTAAAGCAAATAACTACTAAATTTAAGTGGTTGGACTTTAATTGGCATGAATTAAATTGCATGGAATTAAAAGGAAATTTAAGTATAAACTAATTAAAAAGAAATTGAATAAGTGCCAAAAGATACACCAAAGACTACTAAAATATGGCACTTATCAAGGACCTTTAAGCTCGTGACATGAAATAAGCGTTTATAGGAGGCAACCTATGCATTTCATTTCACTTTATTACCTTTCTTTGTGTATTTTACATTTATTTTGCTTATTATTATTTTATGAAGAACAAGCATACTAGAAGGTTAAAGGAGTCAAGCAATAAGCACGATAGTGCTTAGAGATATTCACAGCCATGCATGCCATCACAACAAGAAAATAGAAGATTCATATTGAGAGCATGGCATGAATAAGAGTCCATCAGCCATGTTGACTTACCAGAGCTAGTGTCACCCAAGGAATTCCAATTCATAGCTCTCAATCAGGCACTTTTAGCAAATTTATTAGTGAGTCCCTTTCATTTCTATCTTAATTGACCTCTTTGCATGCATTTAAGTCTTTCAAATATAGAAGACAATGTTTTGGGTTAAGTATTAGAGAGTTCTCAATAATAAAATTATTATTGCATATTCTTCAGTAAATATTTGTGCCCTTTTTCATAATAATTTGAAACTGTTTTACTCAATGAACCTAATTTTTTTCATATAGAAGAGCATATTGAGTGATTATTAATGGAGTAAGTTTTTCATTTGGAAACTAATAATTAGCCAAGTTCTCTACTTTTCTACTCTTCATTAAATTTTAACCCATAAATGTGAGTTTTGAGTCTTAGAGGAGATTTTTATCCTAATTTAATTAATTGTACCCCTTTCCTCATTATTTTGTGTGATTATTCCCTTAAGATTTGTGCTTTAGAACTTGACTTATAATTGACTTAAAGGCTACTCTTTTTTATTACTAATATGATTGAGGCATAATAAGATTTTAATTCTTGGCCATTAGCTTGTTTGAGATACAACTAGTTGTCCACTTTGAGCATTATTAATTTTTCTTAATTCCCTATATTAAAATTATGAAATACTTTGATGATCTTGAGTTTATGAATGGAGCAATTGAGTTGTTGAACTGTTTGATAAATTCTCTTTTACATATTTTATGTGCAAAAAGAAAGAAAATATATGCAAATATAAAATAAAACAAAAAATAGCCAAAAAAAAAAAGAAAAAAGGTTACAAATAAATGAAAAGAAAGAGGAGTAAAGAAATTGCTAAATATAAAAATTACTCCAAAAGCTTCATTTATAAACTTTGGGGATGTTCGTAATGTTTGATTTATTACCTCTTTGCATATCCTTTCTCTTCATTTATCTCATCTCAATTATTTTAACTCTTTAACCACATTACAACTTGAAAAAGATTTCATAATTTTTACTTGTATTCAATTTATTTAGTGAAGAGTCAGTTTATAGTCAAGCCTATGGTAGTATACTTCTAGTGATATCTGTTTTTGTCCTTAGACACTTATAGAGAGAGAAAAGTAGAGTACCCTAATTTGATGTTTGATTGAAAAGTTAGGAAATATAATATTCTAATTGAGAAACCTTTTTATTACTTATGCTTAATGATATTGCTCTTATTCTTTTGAGTTGTCTTAGGTTCCTTGTTCTGGTGATATGTTTCAAGTTATTATGTTACTCTTTTAGTCAAGACTTTACTTGAGGGCAAGCAAATTTTAAGTATAAGAGAGTTGATAAGTTTGTATTTTGACATGCTTTTATAACCTATATATTTATGTATGACTATTAGTTTAATTAAATTTTACACTATATTATATATTAATTGTGCAATTTAGCATAATAAGCCTACAGTTAGATTTTGGATACGTTTTAGGCCCAAATTGGTTGAAAATATAGATTCATAACAACGAAAGAGACCTAAAGGGCAGCAACATATCATCCTGTTGTTGATATTTCACATTCAGTTTTCATTTCATCTCTTCCACGCCTTTTACACATCTGCAATCTTGGTGTTGGCCAATCATTGATGACTATTGTAGCTTCGAGAGCATGTCTTGGATCAAGAGCTCTTCTTGTCTCTTTTTCATTGAAGACTTCTCTAGTTTGCATTTACTTTTTGAGTTCTATGGATTTGTTTAGTATTATTTTTGTTTCCTTTTATATTATGTCTGCCTAAATTCATAACTAGAGCTATGGTAAATTCTTTGCATAACTTTATGAGATGTTTTTTATTAATAATAATTTTACGTTTCCTTTCTTGATTGGTCTTTACCCTAATGTGCTATATTTGTATGTTTAACATTGACAACTCTTAAACATATTATAATTAATTATATCTTAGGTGGTCAAACCACGTATACTTAATGAATCTATAAGGTAAAATGAGACAAAGAATTAGGTAGACCAAATTTAGTTATTTTCTTTCAATTATTATTAAATTAACATTCATAAACTCTTTATATTTTCTCTTTCTTTTACCTTGCATGACTAAGATGAGGTCGCTCTCCTTCGCTCATTCTGTACTTGACTTACGAGATTGTGTAGTACTCGCCCAAACTTATGCACTCCACTGTCTACTAAATGAGTGTTAAAGTGAGCGAAACCTTCAATTTAGTGGCTTCCCCCTTATCCCTCACCCTACTTTTTCATTTCTTTTGTAACTTCCCTTGTTGTTTGGAAAAAAGAATATTAACATGTTAATAGATTTAATATGAGTAAGAAAACTAAAATTAGAATTAATCTAAAAGATAACATAAATAATTGAAAAGATGAAATTATATGCTTTACGTTTTTTTTATTAGTTTATTGTTAAATATTATGTTATTTTAATTCTATAATTGAATCATTGTTTTTATTTAATTTCACATCCTTTAAGGTTAAATAATTAAATTAAATTTTTTTTAATAATTAGAATAATTATTATGAGATGATACTTCAGAAACTTATTTTAGAACTTTTTATTACTTTTCGATAAATACACTTGCGAGTGAATAATTAACATTAGAGACTATATTGAATATTTTTTCATTTAGAGATTTATCTACAAAATTTATTTTAGAGGGACCAATTTTTTTTCAAAAGAGTTTCATATAAGGATTAAAATAGTATTTAAACAAAAAAAAAAATTGCAAGTGATGGACTATGCAATTTTTAGCAAAATTTTGCATGAAACTAAATATGTGTAATTGCTTAGAATTTTGACAAAGAGTGCTACAAATAATAGATTAAGTATTATAAGCTATTCAAATGTAAACATATGTACTAATGAAAATTTTTAAAAATTTGTTTACAGTAATAAGAAAAATTTTATAAGTATAAACGTAGATATTTAAAAAAATTTGAAAATTTATATAAAATAATGAGAAATTGTTCATAAATATAAACACAAGTATCAACAAAAATTGTGAAAATTTATACGGTAATAAGAAATTTTTTTATAAATATAAACATATTCACGAAAATTTGAAGAGTTTATATAAGGTAATAAAATAAAGTTAAGTAAAAATTTTTATTTTCAAAATTTTAAAATAAAATTAACAAAAAGTTGGTAAAAAAAGTAAACCAATTGGAGAAAGAGAAAGTGCAAGTTACCCATCATTTTTAAGAAATTTTAATCCTTAAAAATACATATAGCTAGTTATAAAAGAGAGTAGTTCTACTAAATTCTTTACTTCTTATATATAGAGTCCTTTCATTTATAATATATAGCTTATTCTAATAAAGAATTAGCTATTAATATCTTAATTAATGAGATAGATATAATTTTTCAAAGTCCAACATTTTAAATAAAATGAATTAACATTTGTGATTTTTAAGGCTATAATTTTCCATAACCAATGAATTTTTATTACAAAATTAGTCTAACCGTTAGATAGGTCTTAGAATGTAAATTTTTTTTATAGGTTTTGAGATTTTTATTAATTTTTCTGCATATATAAGACTACAAGTTTTATAAAATTGTATTTTGAACTTATGATTCCTCTGTAGTATTTAAATTCTTCTTTTTGTATTGGAATTTTGTAATAGTAATTCATACATTTTATTTTTCATTGTTTTCTTTTTGTCATGATATTATGCGTTTATTGATTTTGAGAAGCCATTTTTTTCAGATTATTAATAACAATAAATTATTAAATTCCTTTCTCAAATATATTCTTTTAAACCTAATCTTTGTTACAATCATTAATCAATTCATATGACAGTAAAATTAAATACTTTTAATTAAATAAGTTTATAGAAAAATTAAAGTGAATTTTTATTCAAGTAAAAGGTTAGAGCAAATTGTGTTCTTAATAGAATGAATAAAATAAGATAATAAAACTTTACAAATATTAAAATTTTGTTTTTACTTAACATTTGTGACATAATAAAATAAAATCCCTAATGCAAACGCGCTTAAAGTGAATAGAAAACTGATTGGCTAATTAATATTTGATCACTAATATGACATTTACTACATTTAAGTGTGGTTACATTTTAGAGTAAAAGATTCAATTCGTTTATAAATATATCCAGTTGCTAAAATATTGTGATGTACTATATCTCTGTTTTGGAAAATAAAATTGATTTGAAATTTGAATACAAATTTGACTCCAATAGTAAACAAACAGGTTGTTAACATAACCGTAATTGTGGACGGACCAACCAGGCATACCAAAACTAAACAAAACATATGATGTGTGTATATATATATATCCATTGCAAAGGAAGAAAACCACGAAGCAGAGCCAACCCAACTCACCTGGACCCACCATTCTTCTTCTTCTTCTTCTCCACCAAATTGAAAACAATCAAAAACCCCAATTTCATTTCAATTTCAATTTCAATTTCAATTTCAATCTCAATCTCAATCTCACTCCAAATGTCACGTCCCGCACAGAACCTAATGCCCCTCGATTCAGACGAAGTACCCCCAACTCAAATACCAAACCCTCCCTCCAATTCTTCCTCAACCCTCCTTCACCTTTCCTTCAACCAGGACTCTGCCTGCTTCGCCGCCGCCACCGACCATGGCTTCCGCATCTACAACTGCGACCCTTTCCGCGAAATTTTCAGGCGAGACTTCGGTCCCGGCGGCGGAATCTCCCTCGTCCACATGCTTTTCCGCTGTAACATCCTCGCCTTCGTCGGCGGCGGCGTCCCCGAACCTCGCTACCCTCCCAACAAGGTCATGATTTGGGACGACCACCAGTCCCGCTGCATCGGCGAACTCTCCTTCCGCTCTGAAGTCAAAGGCGTTCGTCTCCGTCGCGACCGAATTGTTGTCGTTCTCGCGCATAAGATCTTTGTCTATAACTTCGCCGATCTCAAGGTCCTCCACCAAATCGAAACCATCGCCAACCCTAAAGGCCTCTGCGAAGTCTCTCACGTTTCGGGAACCATGGTTTTGGTGTGTCCTGGTTTGCAGAAGGGTCAGGTTAGAGTCGAGCATTACGCTTCCAAGAGAACCAAGTTCATCATGGCTCACGATTCGAGAATCGCGTGCTTCGCTCTCACACAGGATGGCCGTTTACTCGCTACTGCTAGCAGCAAAGGCACTCTCGTTAGGGTTTTCAACACCCTCGATGGTTCATTGCTTCAAGAGGTGAATGATTGTTATTGTTATGTTATGCTTTATATGTAGAATTAGAATTTAGGTTTCCATTGATAGAAACATGTTTATGATAGCTATCCTTTTTTATTTGATTGTTTTTGTAAATATTATTTCTTGGAAATAATTATGGACTAGCTGTTTTTCAAATCTTAGTTAGGGTTTGTGTGTTTTCTGATGAGTTCAACTGTTATTGAAGTTTGAATGAATATTTGTGGGGTGTTGATGGTTTTCAGGTACGACGAGGTGCAGACAGAGCTGAAATATACAGCCTTGCATTCTCTCCTACTGCGCAGTGGTTAGCAGTGTCGAGCGACAAGGGAACGGTTCATGTTTTCAACCTGAAGGTTGATTCAGGACTGTTGGGGCATGACAGATCGCATAGTGCATCTGAGTCTAATACTGCCAGCCCCACCGCGGTTTCATCCCTCTCATTTATTAAAGGTTTGTGTACTTGTCTGTTATGAGTCATTCGTGGATGATCTTAAATGGAAATTAAGTCCCTTGTTGAGTAATGGTAGAAGAACTAGAGCAGCATTTTTTCCTGTTTAACTACCAAGTTTTTGTTTTGTATGGAAAGTGAAGAATTTTGTAACTAAGGTTTTTGCCTGAAACCTTCTCTCATTTGTGTCTGTTTTATAGGTGTGTTGCCTAAGTATTTTAGCTCAGAGTGGTCTGTGGCTCAGTTTCGCTTGCAAGAAGGATTGCAGTATATCGTTGCCTTTGGCCATCAGAAGAATACAGTTGTAATACTTGGCATGGATGGCAGGTATTTAAGTAATGCATTATAACTGTTCCCTTCAACAGTTTCTCATTGCTCTTTTCTTTTCTTTTTGTGGGGCGGTGGTGTTGCTTAAGAGATGTTAAACGCATTCAGACAGGACTAGGAATCTAGGATGGTGGAAGTGTGATTTGAGAACTTCATTAATTTTCCTTTGGGTCGTGAACTTCATTAAAATTTTACTACACCTGTGTACTGCTTGCTAAAATTGACCTAGGCTGATGGCTTTGTGCCAATGGTTAGTCTTAACTACAGAAAATCAGATTGATTTCTGGAGTCCTGAAGGCAATTAGATGCCAATGGTTACTTTGCATTACTTTCATTGAAGTTTTATGTTTTTAAGGTTTTGAGGGTTAGGGTTTAAATGCTTCAATTTTGGCACCAGGCAGATAACTGCATTATTACTATTGTTTTTCATTCATAATTTTTTTGGATGCTTGTAATCATCTTATGAGCGTAAGTGACCAATGATGCCAACTTTGGAACATCATATCTTAAATAAATAGATAAAATGAGAGCCTTTACACTTTCAATTGATCAACTATATCCGATAAAAATATAAAATAAAATTATCATTATTTCTTTGCCTTTGACTTGCTCTTTTTCCTGCGAATTAAATTTTGATGCAATGTTTATTGAAATTGTTAATGCAGCTTCTATCGATGCCAGTTTGATTCTGCAAACGGTGGAGAGATGACCCAACTTGAATATTACAATTTCCTAAAGCCAGAAGAGACATTCTAGGATGCATCATGTATATATCTGATGGCACTTTTGCTGTGAATACTACTTGAATTTTCTGTTTGGCCCCTTATTTATAACGTTTAAGCTGTAAATACGAGTATTGCTAAATCCACTAATGTTATCCAATTCATTCCGTTGGCTTGTATATATTAACACGTTATAAATTAGAATAAACTATCAGCAGCATTAGCTCCAGATTCGTTACACTCAAACGGTAATTATTTCTGCCGAATTTGTTCAGAAATGTATGTCTTTTTATAAATAGGGTCGTTTACTCATGGATTATTTTTTGGTGTTGTAAGAGCGTGTTAAATTTAAAAAATGAGCTTGGTGAAGCCTCATGAGGAGCTGCCATATATAGGAATAGCAATTGGTAAAATATCCGATAGGTATAAGAATGGAGAAATATTCATAAATTTTAATGAGTGTGAGAGGTATTTAAGAATTTATATATATATATATATATATATTATAATTTATTGATTTTTTTTATTGCTTATACATTTTTGTTATATATTTTTTTATCATTATTTAACAAAATTAAATGTTAACTGTCAATTTAATAAAGTTAGGTTTTGTTTTTTTTTTTTCTTTTATCATGTTTGTTTAGAATGTAAAAACTATTTATACAACATTACAAAAATATTTTATTAATATTATAAATTTTCATATTTTTTTTATATGATCAGTATAATTTTTTAATAATAAATCTTATGAAAATATCAAAGAATGAAAAAGGTGAATCTTCTTGTAAAGTGTATTGTAATAATTATAAATATTGTTTTATCTTCTTCTTTTAAATATTAATTTTTATTTAATTTATACATATTATTTTGTAATAAATAATTAACCTTTTCTTTGTTTTTACAGAGAAAAAAAAATCATGGAATGAAGTAACTAAAAATTCAGGAAAATAAGAAAGGAATTCACCTTTAGTTTTTTAAAAAGTTTTTATTGTTTTTATAAAATTTTGGTTAAAATAAAGATTTTACTATTTATTTTATATAATTTTATATCTTATATTTTTTACTCAATTTTTTTATAGGGCATAATTATTTTATTATTTTGAATGGATAAATTTTTTATTGAGTAATTTTATCTTTTAATTTATAGTTCTCTATTTTTAAATTTTTTTCTATGAAAAACAAGAAGTTTAGAAATTTAATATAAACATTCACGTTAAAAAAAAAACAAAAAAAGACATATATAAAGATATATAAATATATTTAATAAAAAATAGATATTTACATCCCATGCAAATAGTTATTTATAAGATTAACATAAAAATATATTCACTAATAAAGTAAATTATAACAATTTATTTTTTTATATTTTTAATAAAAAATTTATTTACTATTTTATATTATATAACTAGGCTAATACAATTTAATTATTACATATAGTGATATAAATTTTTTTGTAAGAATTTATTTATATATAAAACACATATAACATGTATTTCATACAAATATTTTTTATAAATAAAATTATATTAATATTTAAATTATTAAGTGAATGATAAATAATGAACATATTGTAAATATTTTATAAAATCTATAACCACCTACTATTAAGTATGTTTATTATTTATTGGTAATATTTAAATTTTATTTTTTATATTTTAATTTAAAATAATATTTTCTTATACAACATGTGCATTACAAATACAACTATAATTTATTAAATTTAATTTATTTATATTCAAGAATTAAAAAGATATTAAATATAAAAATATTGTTAATTCTTATTTATGTTTATTTTTTTGAGTTTGTTATATATCTTTATTACAAATTTACTTATTAAATAATTTTTTGATTTATATGTATATTTTTTTCATCATAAGATTTTATTGTAACTATTTATTTTTTATTCAAATTTTTTTATTTATAATTTATATACAATATAAATATTTAATTCACTAAAATTATTTTTAAAATAAATTATTATTTTTAACAAAATACTTTTGTTCAGTGCACACATTAAAAAATACTATATTAATATGTATATATATTATTAATTATATTATATTATTTTAATTAAATCTATTATTTTTATTTAAATTTTAGATTCAAAATTTTTTTAAAAAAATGTGTTATGTATTCACTCTTCGTTATTGTTTAGTACTTGGTCATCCATTGTAAAGATATATTTTGTCATTGTTTAGTTTAGTGTTATCATCATTCAATCAGATCTCACATAAGACAAGATCATCATTGACAAATTACTTATGTGTTTAATTTCTTTTATGTTTTTTAAATACTTTAGTTTAGAAAGTTGTTATATTAAGATATATTTAACTCTCATGATCTTTGAATATTTATTTTCTATCTATGTTTGAACTTTATTTGACAATTACACATTAAATTTTTATATTATTATATTATTTATATAAAGTTATATAAGCATATTTTTTTTTATAAATATTTTTTTTGATACACAATTGTAAGTAATAGGTGCGGATATGAATATGCGAGTATCCAAAAGATACAAATACTAGAATTAAAGTAACCTTTGCAAGTATGAAGCTAGGTTAGAGTATTTTTTTTTAAAACCACTAGAGGATGGGTCCAATAATTAGTATCCTACCATTGTCATTCCTAGTCACATAGCAAGGACTTCTCAAGCTTCTAATGATTCGGTCGAAGAATGTTATTGTTGCCTTTAATCGATGGAAAAGGGTTTTTCAAAGATACCCCTGCCAGTTGATTTTGGGCACGACTTTAACTATTGTGATTTGTGGGTACTTGGAGGATTTCTCAGCCTGTGGGTTATGGAGGAAGATGCAACAATTATATGGGTGAGCAAGAAGATTGACAATAAATACCAAGAAAGATGGGAGTCAGCAAATAGCACATGCAATTCACTAGGGGTGGGATTTTGAGGATCCAGGGATCAAATTCTACTCATTTCACTACATGTCCTTAGCTTCCTTGTTGAGCTATCTATCTAGCGACTTATTAGTAGTTAACAAGTCCCACCTGGAAAGAGTATATTTTGCTTCCGTATGTAATGTAATTTAGCATAAGTTGAAGTTTAAAATATAATTTTTTAAGATTTTATATATACAATCTTATATCATAAGATTCATAACTAACAAATCAACTGTCAACTTAACTTACTTTTTAATATAATTAGAGATCCCGTTCCCACCCAAATTAAAAAAGAAATCTTTAGTGTCTACAAATATTAAATCAAGGATTTGTAGGAATAAACTTTTGCAAACCATTTTCATGATGATGTATTTATCTACAAATTTTAAATAGATGTTACTAATTTTTAAGAAAATAATCATGCTGCCTTAATTTCATTTTATCTTTTCTACAAGAAGGCACTGTTTTTTAATAAACCAAAAAAATGAGCTTTAATTTGAGACACTGTTATTTCAGAAGGCTCAATAAAATTTTAATTATTAGCTGTCTTAAAGACTAGATAACCTTACGAAAAGAAACACAGAATAACTGAAATAGCCATTTTATAGTAACTTTATAATCACTGCAAATAAAAGAAAATAGATTGAGGAGTTTGGAACTAAGGACGTTGCTAAGAAAAGACTAGATAGATACAATTATGTCATGAAAATGTTAATATGTAAGGATTGAAAATGGAGGAATTGAAGCACCTCTTGCAGGGCCTAAGCCGAAGCTCCATCTATTTGTTTAGGTTTGTTGTGACGTATCCATGAAAACATCGATTGCATCGGGGAAAGAACCGATGATTTTAAACTGAATATTCCTCAAATCAACAGCAAAGTCCAATGCCTGGTTCATGGTTGCTCGAGCACCCTCTAGTGCCTCAACAAGCTCCGGGTTGGTCAAGTAAGTCGCGCATATTTGATTCAAAATTCTATCATGTCTTTCTTGGAATCTCACTACTCTTTCTTCTGCCGCTTCCAACGCCTCGTTAATGATTTTTAGTTTTTCTGCAGCCATTTGTTTCTTATGCCATCTCTTGAGGTTCGGCACACAAAATAAGAACGACGTGGAGAAGCCTATCATTGCGAAAACCATGTTGCCTAAGTTCATGAGTGATGTTCATGTTTTAACACATCCTAGAGAACACATGACTATAACAAAGGAGACCTTGTACTTTGCTTCGATTTGGGGTTACCACATTACTTGAACTTGAGTTAATTTATCTATTCTCTTTTCAAGTGCCCCACATCTTGCCATCCTTGAATCCGTCATCACCAATAAAAAATTAACACTTAAATAATGATAAAATTTAGAATAAACAGTGAAATTAAAATTAACTCCTTAATTTTTAAATTAATAATAATTTATATTTATTTTCTTTGACATACATCACTCGCTATTCCTTATATAAATGTGTGACAGCAAGATTAAGGCATAAAAGGTATATTAATTTTGTACATTTCTTATTTTTAGTGTATCTGATATTGCAATAAATGGGGGTCTTGATTTCATAAATCAATAACAAATTATTTACTTCATTAAGATATGATTTCATTAAATGTAGATTACAACTTTGCAGAATAACATACCAAAATTGTGAAACTGCATACATAACCCATTGTCAAAGGCAGCATAGAAAGGCGTCATGATTACTCTCGAGCCCAGGCGGGAGGCGAGAAGAATAAAAAACATATCTTCCCTATTCATATCATTTCCTTTGTTTTAATTGAATTAACTAACGCTATCTATATGGATTGCATTATTGGAATATCACTACGATCGCCGGGTATCCATGCGGCTTTCTTCCAGAGAAACACAAAAAGAAAAAATAAACATTGATATTTGATCATCACTTTACAAGTAAACAAAATTGAGATGATCATGGGCAAATTCACTTGCAGGTGCCAATGAGTAAATCATCTTTTAATAACTGAAAAAAATTACTTGGATTTTGAGAGTTTTGATAGTCTTGCTGCTAGTCTACCTCGAGAAGTCTTCGCCTCAGGTTTCACTCTATTAGCTTTTCTCTTTCGCTGCCTTTTGGTGGGATGCAGAATCTTTGGCTGTCTATTGACTCGCATTTTTTTCAGGCGTTGACGGCGGATCTCAGGATTAGCCCAGCCTTTTCCCCATTCTGAGAATGAGGAAAATGATTTGTCAGTTATCTTTTCAAGCAACATATCTGCCTCAGGGTAAACATAGAAAGCTTGCTCATTCTTGGACTCGACTAATTCCAATCCCAATTCTGTTAGCTCTGGATATTTTATCTGAACATAGATCTGCATTGTATTGTGGAAAGCATCATGTTACCAATGTACATTCACAAAATAGTATACATGCAGACAAGACAGTAAATGCTTTTATTCTATAGCTTTGCTTGAAGTTTGGGACTAAGGCATAGCAAGCGGCACATGTTCAATTGCATGCAAAAATATTTTTCTGATCCTTCTTTAAATTTAAAACATCTTAAAGAATTTTTCAGGTGATAATGGTATGTATTTTAGATCAATATGTTAAAGAGCAATACATTTTCTACTAATGAGTAAAATTTACATGGCTCTCACTAAAAAAATCTAAAGCCCAATCACCGATAGTGGGACCCACATAAATTTCATACAATAACAGAGTGTGCTGAATAGTGTAAAAAAAAAAATAACTAGCATTTTTCTATGATAAATTACTTCCTTATAGGATCACCACTCAAATTTATACATCACTTTTTGATTTTCAGATGCGACAAATCCACCAGTTTCAACCAATACATATATTGGTAAAAAAGCTAATTATACCTTATCATCTCCTTCCCTGATGTATCCTTCAACTTCCAAAATTCGAGCAAGACCTCTCCACCATAATATACTAGTGGTTAAAAACTTTTGAAACTGCATATAGTCATTTTCATATGAAAACAAGTAAACATGAATGTTACTAGACAGAACATCTAACATAGCAAACAATGAGACAATTATAACTAGGTACACCTGCTGCCTTATTTTTGCAACTAGCTTCTTAAGACCTGGCCTTTGTCTTAGTCTTCTATATCTGGAATCAGAATGTATATCACCATCGTATGAGCAATCCATGGAGTAGCTACATGCCTAAATAATTAAAGTCCATGTCACATTAGTTTTTACCCTCTTAGTAATAAAGAAAATATGATCTCTGGACCGTGACAATTTTGTTTCACACAACTTGAGCCCTTACCATAGATCCAGAAACACCACAAAATAAAGCATTTGTTTAATCAATTTATCATATTGAAACATAAACCAGAGAAGTAGACATATGCGAAGCAGAATGAGGTACATATGTTTGAACAATATGCTGCAAAATTCCAAGAATCAATATTTTTATATAAACACACATGTATAAATTGAAACTATTCGACATACATTTTGGGCAGCTATAGTTTGCAGTAAAATACAGGCCTCCTCTTTTAGATTCTGCCTTTGAGGTGGACCACCAATGCATACATCACATCTACATGATGGAGATTCATTAGGAAAGTGACAACGTGAAGGCTTACATGCATTAATAAAAAACTCAAACAAATTAGCACATCACCAGTAAACCCTTGTTCACGAAAGAAAGCAAATCTGCTAATTAAAAAAACAATGCAACTTAATTCCAGCTATTCTAATTTAAAATAGCAACTTAATTACATATAGTCCATATAGTTTAATTAATGTGAATTTTGATACATAGTTTTAATTGCTTGTGTTTAGTCTTTCTAATTTTTTATTATTCAAATTAAGTCTCTCATCTCAAAATATGATGGAAATATGACAATATTGATTCATATAAATTAATAAGAAAAAGTAAAAAATATTTAAATAAACATAGTAAAGGTAGTGTATAAAATATAACAAAAGTTTTTAATTTTTATTTAATTATTTTATAGATTTTCTTTGCAAATTTATATAAATCAATAACATATTTTTGTTAATTATTAGATAAAATTTTGAAGTGACTTAATTTGAATGATAAAAAAATTACAAGAACTAACTGTGAACAATTAAAATTACACACAAATTAAAATATGGGGACTAAAAGTATAATTAAGCTTAAAATATTCTTTCACTTCAACGGATGCCGAAACATTAAAAAACAGCAGAGCCAAAACTGTACATACAAGAGACATTTGTCATGACTGAAATCCTCTCCGAAGTATTCAACAAGTGTCTTTGCCCGGCAGCAAGAAGTTTTCATTCCATATCTGCAAATATACATTAAGATTCTGTACTAAAATAAAACAGAAAATGACGAATAAAGATGTGTTCATCAAAGCAAACCTGAAACAATCAGACAACAGGATATATGCTATTTTTATCCGATCTTCAGTTAACCGTTGCTTACTTGGCAAAAGTGATGGTATGCTTGCTAGGTTTGCATGAAGAACTGGTAGTGGGGCGAAAGAAAGTGGTGCAAAAGAATTAAACAATAAGCAACCTATTACTTATGTCAAGGGAGTAACTAGAGTTTAAAATCAAACAGAACTAGAAGAACTAAAAAGTGCATCACAAGGTGAAAACTATATTCTATTATAATTAAACTTACTGCAATCTGCTAATTTCCCATCTCGACCAGCCCGTCCAGCTCCTTGGTAGTAGGCTTCTAAACTCTAATCAAGTTACAAGTTCAATTATTTGAGATACGGATACCTCCAAAAAAATGACAATTCAGGAAGTGAAAGCATCAAAGATGAAATTCACAAGAAAATGCAGATAAACTTTAATTGATTAATTATGCAAGGAAAAATGTATTTGGCAAACAGACCTGTGGCCAACCATAGTGGATGATTCTTCTGACATTTGATTTGTCAATCCCCATTCCAAAAGCTACAGTTGCAACAACAACCTGAAAATGATAAAACACAAGCGCAGACTTCTGAAGGAAATAATTGAAATTACGTACTAAACTCACAATGCATCACAGGGATAAAACAAGGGTACAAAAATTCAGAGGTGTCCTAATAACACCAAATCACTATTTCTTTGTGTGTGATGGGTGGATAGGGAGGAAAGGATGGTAGGAAGAGATTCGGTATGAAAACAAATCTGAAACTCAGAAAGCCATAAAAATCAGACAAGAAGTACCATGAATTTTATCCTAAATTTTCATAATAATAGTTATGTAAATAGCTTCCCACAGTATAAAAAGTAGCAATCAATAATACCTGTATTTTAAAATTTCTGAATCCAACACATCAAATGTTACTATTAAATGATGACATCATAAATTCATAAATGATACCTGTCACCTCAATTCAAATAAAACACGGTCCCTCTTGAATGAAACCTCACCCAGGGACACCTATAATACTTTTGTTCAGGCTCCAGATACATACCTGTAAAGTATTTTCATGAAACTCTTGATGAACCCTTCTTAGATCCAATTTGGGGAGCTGGAAAAAGAAATTAAGCTCCTAAATTAGCTTAAAAACCTAACAAACAACATAAATCAAATGGTGACTGAAAAATGTGCAGCATATAAAGCTTGGATAAAAACGAACATAATTATCAACCTTGGTTTGATGAAATCCACAGTAGAGCATGGCAGCATTCCAGAATAGTTTAAAAGTAAAACAGAAAGAAAAATGACAAGTAAACTTTAATTCAAGATTATCTTTCAATTGGCATGATCTAACTATAAATTTTAATTCACTACAAATTTAAACAACCATTGAACCAGATAAAATTGAGTGTAACATAACCCATACCCCTGCATTATAAGCAGCAGCCTTGACACCAAACTTGCATAGATACTCTGCAATTCTTAGTGTTTCTTTTCTGGTGGGTACATAGATGATTGCTGGTCCTTGTTCCAAAGGCTCTTGGGTAACTACATTTATATACGTGGCAACACATACAATTAGGCACCATAGATGTTAATGAGATTGATTTTCTTCATTATTTTCACCAAAATTGCTTCCCCTTTCTTAACTAAATATGACCAATTATTTGTAATGAAGTCAGAAATAGCAGAAAGATCAGTACCATCTAAGTCATTCACACTGAAAGGCATCAATGTCATTTTCCAGAAACACAATTGATAATTCTCTTGCTTTTATTAAATTACCTGTGTTTCCTGAGTGCATTGCATAATTTGCATTAATGTCTCTATAAGCATATTCATCTTGGCCATCATCCACCTCATAAGAAGAAATAATGTCTTCATCTGAGGTACTACAAGCATCGGAGCTATTGGAAGAATCATCTGAGAAGAAATCTTTTTCATTTCCATCAATATTATGCTTTCCACCATATACTTCAATCAATTCATGAAAATCTTTTGCATAAGAAGCCAGTGACGTTCGACTATGCTTTACCTGTATGTATGAAGCAACAGTGAATTGTATGTGTAACAACAAGATGATCTAGTCAGAGACAAAGTACAAGTTATAATCAACAAACTCACCATGAAGCGTAAATTAGGTCGAAATAATGATGTGAGAACAACAATTGTTTCTTTTGACATGCATAGTGATTTTAAAATGTCTTCTTGAACTCTTTTTGTAGCTGTAGCTGTCAACGCCATCAGAGGTATATTGAATTTCAGGGATTTTAGCTTGCTAGTATTGAAGTTTTCCCTAAGCACAGCCAGTCGGCTGAAACAAGAGTAGACATTTACAAACTGGTCATACACACATATTTATGGCAGTAGACTAAAGACCATAAAGAGCACCAAACAAAGAACAAAGGAAATATGTGTGATAATTAAGCAAATCAACCAATAACAGAGATCTTAGTTTCTTTGAATACAAAACACAAGTTATGATCACTTAAGATGTTCCAATTGCACCAATTGATCCAGTTCATCTCCTATTGCCATAAAAAAATGAGGAAACACAATGGATAAAACAGACCTGTAGGCTGGACGGAAATCATGACCCCATTTAGAAACACAATGCACCTCATCAATTGCAAATAAACAAATACGACCACTTTCTGCAAGTTCCTGCAACGGTTCAATCAATCTGCACAGGATTGCAACGCAGTTAGTTACCAAACATAAGAAGAATAAAAGAACAAAGCCTTCTAAAACATGCATCGATCAAGGCCCCCAAACATACCTTTCAATAGTCTCTGGGCAAACATATACAATACTATACATGCCTTTCATTGCTTTCAGTTCAACAGTCTCATCAGGTTGACCAGAGCCAAGAAAGCAAGCACTGATTCCATGTTCTTTTAACTTTAAGCACTGATCATTCATCAGGCTTATCAAGGGCGAAATCACAACTACAACTCTCCCAGACAACAACGCAGGAATCTGAAAGCACAGAGATTTCCCTGCCAAAACACAACTCTCAAGAAATGCAGAATAGCCACACTACACAGAAAGCATGAAATTGAATAGTTGAAGAACAAAACCAGCTCCTGTTGCAGCAAGAACAACAGAGTCTTTATGAGCAACCCAAGCAGCAAGTGCTTCCTTCTGGAAACTCTTCAAAGATGAAAACCCAAAATGCTTTTGCAACAGATAGCTAACCCTCTGCTCCCAATCAGAAGCAATATCCAAATCCTGTGCTTCAAGCATGTCCTTGTTGTCTTTCACATCGTTGAATTTGAAATGGTCGACTATCCTAGACTGTCCACCAAGACGGCACGCACGCATAGGTTGCTTTCTGCGAGCGGTGTGGGTAGTGGATGCTCCACGGTTAGTATTAGTAGTAGTAGAACTGCTCTTGAGGATATGCTCCACAGCATAGGGAATCGATGGACCCACAGTTCTCATGGCTTCCACAACATTGGAATGCTCGAAACCCATTTCACCATTTCAGCAATAACTTGATCTGAACATGTGTTGTTGCCATCCATCGCATTCCTTCCCATAAATTTATCAAAAATAAAATAAAATGCTGAAACGTAAATGAGAAAGAAAAAAAAAATTCAAAACCCGGTTTTTCTGTTTTCGGGAATGAGAAAAGAGAACATCAACGTGGAATGGAATTATGGTTCTTCTTCAATTCGTCCCAAATAAACGAAGTTGCATTGTAGGGTTCACGAAAAGAGCGGAGAGAGGAATGGAAGCATACCTGAGACTGAGGATTAGAGATCAGAATCCCACCAAATCTTCTTGAGGAGCCAAAATGACACAAAAGCAATTTTGGATTTAAAGGGTTTCCCTGTTCAAAAACAGCACCTCTAAATGATGTCGTCTCATACATGAATCCGTCTTTCGTCCATGGTTACGCTGCAATGGTACTGCACGCGCGGGAAAACAGATGATGGAAAGACCGAATCTTCATTTTTTTTTTTTTTTTTCAACTTCATAAATTTGTAGAATAATGTTCCCTTTAGTCATTTAGAAAAAAAATAAAAAATTATAAAGTTAAGATTAAATTTAGAATTTTGTAAATAAATGACTCAATGATTGTTGTATTATACAATTTGATTCAAACTACTATGAAGACGAAAGTATATGGTATTATTATTACTTGTTTTTATTATTCAAACTGCAAATGATAGTATAGATAATAGAATTTTTTTAAAAGATAAAATAAAATAAAACAAAACTTTTAATATGTTTTTCAAAAAAATTTAAAATATGTTTGCACAATTTGTTTTATTTTAATGCAATTTATGTTTAAGCATGAAAGAATTTTTTATTTTGAGTATAATTGTGCTTAAGCACAAGTTTTATTTGTGTATAAAACACTGTTTGTTAATTTGTTAAAATTAGTGTAACATATGTTTAAGGATTGTTGTTCTTAAGTTAGAGTGGTTAAATAAGTTAATTTTAACTAATTAGAACTAGAGATTAAAGTTAAAAAGTTTATAGGGTAAAAAATTCACAGGATTAAATATATTATATACGATAATGTTTATTATTTTTTCCACAGGTAAAAAATTTATATACGATAGGTTAATTATTTTTTCAAAAAAAATTTTTTTTTACACAGCAATCGTATAATGTTTTATGAAATAATTTATTAAAAACTTTTATTTTGTATAACATGGTTTTTATTACAAACTTGTAGATAAATGAAATTGTTTAAAAATAAATAAATAAATAAATAAAAATTAAATTTATATAATATTAAATATTTATATTGATAATTATTATTAAATAATATTAAATAAAATATAATAATTTATTATCAAATTAATTTACATATTTTTTTAATATTTATCTTTGTTATTGATTAATATTCACGAATTGTAATAATTATTACTTATTTAATTTTATAAATATTTTTAGCACATTTTTAAAATATTATTCAAATATTAACAATAAAAAAGTTATGTTACAATGTTTTTATATTATTATTTTTATTTATTTTCATAAATTATTTAAAAATAAAATATTTCAATTTTTTCTTTTTTTAATTATATTTATTTTGTATAAAGATATCTTATATTTAATAAATATATAAAATTAATAATAAAAAAATAATATTTAAATCATTTATTATTTAAAGGTTTAAACTGAATCATTCAAGTGAAAATTAATATATTAAAAAAAGTAAATATAATATTACTATAATAAAAATTATAAACATAAAATACTTCATATTATAAAATTCATAAATGCAGATAAATAATATAGAAATATAGTAAGTAAGAATCGGTGAATATAAATTTATCTTTTAGTTTATATTAATTTGATTGAATTTATTTTTATATTAAATAACTTATGTTTCTAAATTTTTATCTTAAAAAAATTATACTAAAACTTAATATAGAATATATATATATATACATATATATAGTTTTATTAATTTTTTATTTTAAAAAAATAATTAATAATTAATAAATATATATAAAATTACCTACATACTTATATATTATATATAAATTAATAATTTAATGATAATTTATTTTTTTATTTGTTAATTTATGTAAATATTTATTAATTATTATATTTTAAATTTATATGATAGTAACTATATAATTTTTATTTTTTTAAAATTTTTTTAATTAACAAGCTATCTATATTTATATATCTCTGTAAAATTTATTAAAATTAATTATTTATATATATTGAAAATAACCATATCTTCTACAAACAATGTATGCATAGAGAATTATTAAACTCATTAAAAAAAACAAATAAAAATATTAAAGTTGATTAAATTTAACTAAAATAATTATTGAATTTTAAAAAATTTCCATTTACTTTTATTTAAATTTATTGTTATTATTACTTTAATAAATTACTATATAAAATGTTATTTTATTATTCTATTATTGTATAGTTAAATATTTTATTATTAATTTTCAAATAAAATCATAAATAATTAATATATCATATTGAATTTAATTAAAAAATTAATAAAAATTTTATTTTATAATATTCTTAAATGTAATTGTATTTTATATTATTTTTATGATAAATTTGTATTATAATTTAAAAATATTTTTATTTTAAAAACATTTTTTATATTTAATATAATTTTTAAATTAATTTTAAATAAATAAATTTAATAAACATTCTAAACATAACAGTTATTAATTGTTCTAAAAAAATAAGTAATCTAACTCACCTTCAATCTTGAACTTAACCCACTACTTTTTTTTAAATTAAAACTTAGAGTTAAAATAAACCAACTAATTACAGGATCTAAATAAAATGAGATTATATAGTGAGTTAAGTAGGATAGGTTATGATTTTCAACCTATTTGACAAGTCTACTCATAATTAACACGTCCCGTACTAGAGATTAAATGAATATAAGTAGCTCTTAGTTTGTGTGATTTATTTAACGCCACTTATTTATAAATAAGTGTCGAAAAGATTTGTTTGTGGTTACATAATGTGAAATCAATTGTAAAATAGTTGTAATATTCACTACAACAAAAATAAATTTTAGCAATAATTGTTATAATTGTTAATGATAATAAAAATAGCCTTAAAATTTTATTGACAAAATTATTTACGTTGTATCCAATGTTAGTAAATATTTTATTGACTATTATAAAGAATACTAGTAAATATTAATGACAATTTAAATGGCCATTAATTAATTTTAAAAATTATTTTTTATTAATTTACTTGCTTTATTATTGTTGGTAAAATTTTAATTATTTTTTATTAATAATTAATAATCTCTTAAATATAAATAATTTGATTAGTAAAAATTTTAGTAACAATAATTTTTGTTCCTAAATATTTTAAAATAACAATATAGGTACAATTATTTTAAATAAATAATTGTAAATCATTTTTAAAAAAATGACATATTCAACTTCTTTAACGGTCAAATTTTGTAAATTTTATTAGTAATCAAAGTTGTATATTATAATAAAAATAATTATGTGTAAAAAAAAATTAATATAAAAGTAAATCTTATATTTTAAAGTACGTTATAATACAATATTTCTTTAAGTATTGTTTACCTCAAATAAACAAAATAAAAAGAATAAGAAAAAAATATTTTTTAATATGAAATAACATTATAACAGTGCTTGACTTTGTTTGTTTAAACTTCTATTTCCTCTTTCAAAATTTATCTTTTTACAATGGTTATGTTACTGATTTTCTTCAAAATTTTTATATAAAAATTATTAAAAAAATAAAAAAAATACAGAAATAGACCCATCCACATTTTATTTATCTAAATAGGCCTGAATACTAGAGCAAATTTTTGCAACTCAAAATTTGGTTTTCAAGGAACCAAATTCTGACTTGACCTTTTCTTTCGTTTTTAAATTTAATTTTATATTTTTATATAATAAAATAAATATTATTATTTAAATTATATTTATATTTTATTAAAATAAATATTTATAATATGTTATTCTAATAAATATTTTGTAAATTATATATAATAAAATAAGTTTTATTATTTGAATTATGTTTATATTTTTATATTATTTGAAAATGAATAAAAATAAAAATAATATTTATTTTATATGTTTATTAAAATTTATTTTACATATTTAAGATAATAAATAATATTTTTCAAAAATAATTATTATTATATTTATAAAAACTAATTAAAATATTTAAATAATAATAATGTTAATGCTTAAATTTTTTATACTAAAAGAATAATAATTATATTTTTAAAAATTAAATAAAAATATTAAATATTATTCTATTTATTTATTTATTTAAATATGTCATTTTGAGTTAATATTTTTAAATATTAGTATGATAAAATGATATTTTGAATAAAAAATTTATTTTAATTAAATTAGTTTTTATAAAAATTATATTATTTAATATTATAATTTTTAATACCCTAAATCCTAAAACTTTACAATTATAATTTTTAATAAATTTTATTTTAGAATAAAAAATTTATTTTTAAAAAGTAAATAAAATATTAAATTATAAGTTAATTATTTATACTTGAGACAAATATTTTAAAATTAACTTTTTCATATTACTAAGATAACATTGATAAAGACAAAGTGCATTAATAAAGATGATAACAAATTCATAACAACATTAATGTAACATCCTTTAGGGTTATGGTGCACTCCCCTGTTGAAAAATGGAATGTGTGAGTTTTAGGTCTCTACTTCTCGATCAAAGTTGTTATCAATACGTGATCCACTTTAAGATGCCTTAGCTTTACTATTCCAGTAAAACTAAGTTGTTCAAGTATAGGAACAATTAAAAGACTGAGTTTTGGCATTGAATGACAAAAAGATGAAATCATGATTTTAGTTTCCTGCAGTTATTAATTAATTAGTCACATTATATGTAGAATATTGATTTACATATTCAAGTAATAATAGTAATGTGTAAAACTTATCGTTCTTCCAATGAAGGCATTCTTCCAATGAAGGCAGACCTGTGTTCATTTTGCTTCTATAACAACATATTTAGTAATGGGAGCAAAGACAGAGAGAAACGAAGAACAAAGATGAACATATTTATATATACACTTTGGGATGACTTGAATAAGAAGAGAATCCAATGCTAGGCGTGACTGAGAAGTCACTATCTCTTGGTCTGTGTGACTGAGAAATCATCATCTTTTGGTTTACGTGAATGTCAGAAGGCATCTTTGTTTGGGAGGAGAGAAAATCTGTTTGGAAGTATATGGCATGGCTTGAATGAGAAGAGATCCAATGCTAAGCGTGACTGAGAAGTCACAATCTCTTGGTCCGCATAACTAAGAAGTTAGTATCTCTTGGTCAACGTGAATGGACCTCAATGAAATACCCTCCCAACCATTTGAGCAAACCTTACCTCCTCAGCCTCCTGAAGAAACTCCCATTGAAGAACATGTTGTTGTGGGTCTCTCAATCAAAGTATTTGATCCTTTTAGCAAGGACGAAGATGAAATCCTAT